AAAGAGACGAAGAGGAAATCGCAACATCCGCACGAAGCATGACCCCACTTTTTCGTTCTCATGTTAATTTGTAATCACATTCTTTAGCATGGCATGTTCCCTTGGTTAACAATCACTCCATTCATTTTGAACAATCTGAGCATTTGGTTTTATTAGCTTCTCTATTGAGTACTTACAAGAAAATGTGAAATTGTTTTTTTTTAGAATCTCCAACAACATTTGGTTCTGTCCGCGAACGGATTGCTCGATTCGAATCGTTGCAAGATGAAAAGTCTACAAAATCGTCACCCGACAAGACTTCCGTTGATATCGTAGTCACGCCTGTTAGTCCTGTGTCAGGAATGCGATTTGAAAATGAGGATATAGCTCAAGAACCACTCAGTCCGTCTATTGAATCTGAAGTTTCACAAGCAGAAGTCAAAAGCTCGTCGTCTTATAGTGGAGATGAACATAGTCCCAGATTTGAAAAACCTGACATCCGCGAAAAAAGAGCGATCACAGAAGAACCCACTCGAGTGCCATCACCTCCTAGGGAAGAAGTATCTAAAAAAGAATATACAAAAATTGACGAATATCTCACACATCCCAGTACTTTCTTAGAAACGACCACAGAAGAAATAATTGAGTTGGAGGAACGTTCCGAATCGCCACAGTTGGCAGACACAGCGAAAAGACCACATGATGAGGATCAGTACGAAGTGATTCCACCAATCCCAGTTCAAGAAGAAGCACCTGGCGAAGAACAGCCCAAGATAGCGGAAACACGGACTACCCCTGTAACCTTTTACGAGATGCCTGAAAAAGAGGAGAAGGCTGTAGAGCAAGAGGAGGCACGACTGTTACCTGAGTATTCTACACCTCCGAAATACGAAGACATTATGGAAGAGACGGCATTTCCAAAAGAAGAGCACGAGTATCGAACAGTTAAGAAGACTGTCACTACTGTAACTACCACCCGTTACATGGAAATGCCAGACGTTACAGAAGGGAGTGTGGAAGAACAGGCGGAGGAATCTTCACTTTACCCAACACCACGGGAGCCGCATGTTGAGGAAATTGAATATCCTACCATGACTAAAACTGTTACCACAGTCACAACTACGATAGAGGTACCTGAAACACCGGAGAGTGAAAAACTGGAGTCGGAAGAAGGCAAAGCTTTGGATTTGTCCAAAAAAGAGATAGAACGAGAAGGTGATGAAATAAGCGTGCGTGAAGCTCCAAAAATTGCCTCAATATCTGCATATATCCCCGAAGTCAAACCTTCCCCAGAGATATTTGAACTTGAAGAAACTATTTCGCACACTCCCACACTATATGATATGACACGAGGTTACGAAATGACAACAGAAAGCGACTTCTCTACGGCACCGAAAACTGTCACGACCGTGACGAGGACCCCTTATGAAGAAATACCCGAAACAATAGCACGCAAAGAAGAGTACGCTGTAGAACCAGAGAAGGATGAAAATAGGGACAAAGTGGCTGTAAGAGAAACTATAACCACCGTTACAACGACTCGTTATGGAGAGGAGCCTGCGATACCAACGGACTTCGAAAGGTATGATCAACAGCCTAAAGCTGTGGAAACACCGGCACACACTCGTGAAGAATATTCGCCTGTAATCGGCGCTATCACTACTGTTTCAACCACACTCTATGGAGAAGAGCCTGAAATTCCAGAGCGCTTTGAAAGGTATGGACGAGTGCCACCAACAAGTGTGGAATCATTCGTGAGCCCCGTCTCCACGGAAGAATATCCGCATGTGGGTGGGGCCATCACCACTGTAACAACCACATTTAACAGGGAGGAGCCCACAGAAGAGCATATGGGAATAGAGACACCACCTTTGAGGGAAGATATCACAGCTATCACAACAACTCAGTATGGAGAAGAGCCTAAGACCGAGAAGGGCTCTGAAATGTATGGGAGAGAGTCAACAGCTGCGCAACCAGTATTGAGTTCAGTATTTAGTGAAGAATATCCACCTACTGGGGAGACTATTACAACTGTGACGACTACGCTTCATAAGCAGAAGCCTGAGGTCATCGAAGACTTGCAAGGATACGTAAAATTACCGGTGGCCCCCTCTGCGTCAGAGGATTCACCAAAGACGGAAGCTATCACTTTTGCAACCACACATTATGAGGAGGAAGCCAAGACTTTAAGGGGCTCTGAAAAATATAGACGAGATTCATCAAAGTCTCCAATTAGCCCCACCAGAGAGGCATATCCTCCTGTTCAAGAGACCGTAACAATAACAATGACACGTTATGAAGAGGGTCGCGAATCTCCAGAAAGTACTGAAAGATATGAGGAAGAAATAATAAAAACTGCGGGTTTACCAGAAACTTCTAGCTTTGAAAAATACTATCCTCCTGTCAGGGAAACTACCACTACTATCACACTGACAGAATACGAAGAAGAGCCAGAGATTCAACAACCCGAAAAATATAAAGATATTTTACAAATTGAAGGTAAACCAGTAAGTTCACCTTCTTTCGAAGAATATCCACCAGACAGGGAAACGACTACCACCATAACAATGACTCACTATGAAGAAGAAGGTGATGTCCTAGAACACTTCGACAGATATGCGCAAAAGTTCAAGGCTTTGGAATCACCAGTGAGAGGCCTTCACTTTGAGGATAAGTACCCGCCTGAGGCAGAAAGCATAGCCACGACATGGAAGTACGAGAAACCCGCGACCACTGAAGAATCTGAGGAATACACGACAAAAGAATTATCAAGAGAAAGAATTCCAGGTACTCGAATCACACAAGAAGAAATCAGCTCAGGAAAATTACCTTTCACTTCAGATCACTTTGAAAGTGAAGAAACCATTGGTGATAAACGAGGCGGCTTCGCTACAAAGGTAGCGACGTTTGCGCGAGGCGCTTTTGTAGCTCCCGCTGCATTGGCAGCCATGGGAGCATCGGCAGCGTATGATGCTCTAACAAAAGAGGGTGAGCCAAAAGAAGAAGTGCATGAGGAATTCAGGGAAGAGATAGTAAAGGAGTTACCAAAGCCCGAAGAATCACCAATCAGCCCAGTTACACGAGAAGAGATGTTTGGAGAGAAGTTCCCTACAGTGACAGAAGCCAAAAAGCTGGAAGAAGTGTCACCAAAACCAGAGCGCGAATCTCCCGAACTGGCGGAATCTCCAATAAACACACTTTCAAGAGAAGAGACATTTGGAGAGAAGTTCCCCACAGTGACAGAAGCCGAAAAACTGGAAGAACGCGTGTCACCAAAACCAGAGCGCGAATCTCCCAAAC